CACCAGGCCCAGCCCAGCCTGTGCAGCCCGGGGGCTCCCTTGCCTTCCAGCATCAGCCGTTAGTCCCGTGGATCCTCATCGTTTCTGTGCGCATGAGCACGAGCTTTTGTGGGTCTCTGTAACGGCGCGAGACTCCCGTGCCCAACACAGCCGCCTGCCTTTGCCGTGGTCAGGCCAGGCCAGGCCAGGGGCAAGCAGCTCTGTCTCCGACCAGGGCTGAGCGGCTGCTTTTAGCAGATATTTTGCTTTGTGGTCAGAAGGGAGTCGCCTGGATCTGGCTGGAGTTGTCCTGGCACCGTCGCGCGTCCCCGCTAACTGAAGCTGGAAGGTGCATCTGGGCAGCAAAGGGGAGCTGAACGGGGTGGATCCAGGCTGCCGCTACCCAAACCCCTGTTTTTTGCTCCAGGATGGGCTCGGGCTCAGCTGCAGCTGTGTGGCTCCAGCCGAAGGCCCTGGTGTGGCCCCAGATTTAGGCTTTGCCGAGCCTCCAGCCCCCCTGGGCCACAAAGTGCCAGCAGCAGGACAAGGCAAGGAGCCTTGGCTGACGGGGAGGGGAAGCCCATGCACACGGACACAGAGCCCAGCCACTGACCTCTGCCCAGTCCCCAGGAAAACCAGCCCTGGCCAGTGCCCAGAGCCTATGTGAAACACGTGGGGATGAAACTGAGCAGAGAACTATGAGCACAAGACACGTGTGTAAACACGGTGTGCATGGGCAGCCTTCAGTCAAGTCAAGGCAACCAGCTTGCTGCCTCCCTCCCCCACATCTCCCAGCCTGCCCAGGCTGGAGCTGGTATCGTGCTGCTGCGGGTCTGTGGGAACAGCGGCTGCGACTGGTGCAGGGCAAGACCCACGCTTCTGCCACCACCCTGGAGCAGGACCCATCCTGGGCCAGGCTAGGGACCAAGGCATTTCCCTGCTGCCAGTGCAGTGTGTGGGACTCCGCGGGCAGAGGCTGGTGGCAGGGGCAGGGCTGGGCAGCTGCTCCCCAGCTGTGTGCATCTGGGCCTGGCCCTGACCTGCACCCCTGGGCTGGGCACATCAGGGAGGGGCAATGAGGGGGTCCCTGCTGGGGGGAGCTGGGGGCTGGGCAGGGGAACGGCTCCCAGGGGCTCCAAACAAGATGTACACTCAGGTGCCAGCATGAGGCAGGACCCCAGCCAGGCCCAAGCCCCGCTGGGCCCGCAGCAGCAGACACGGAGCTGGCTCGTGCACTTCCAGCTATTTAATGCAGACAAGTGCCCATCCAGAGCTGGCAGAGAGGACTTGCTGGAGGTTGCAGGAAAGCCCTGGAGTGACCAGCACCAGAGACGGTGCTGGGATGGCCCCTGTGCTCGCCGGGAGGAAGGGCCGGGGCTTGGCTTCACCTGGTGCCCGTTGGAAACGATGCAGCAGGTGCCACCTCGCACAGCCCTGGGAGCTCCCCAGGACACGGGGCAGGACACGAGGGGCTTGTCTTGTCGGTGCTGTTGGGCAGGGGTGGGGTGTGCAGGGCGCCTGCAGCCCAGCCGGGGTCCCAGTGCCCTGGGCCAGGCTGGGTGCTGAGCCAGGAGGAGCTGCAGGCAGCGATGGGCTGGCAGGGGCCGGTTGGCACTCCCAGCCCCACTGTGTGCCCAGGCAGATCTCTGCTCTCGCTGGGGACGGCAGGGAGCACCGCCTGGCGCCTCCCCGCACCTGGCTGCAGTCCCTCAAGAGCCAGATCTGCGTAGGTGACCTCTGCAGAGAGGCAGACACGAGTTAGGAGTCAGCAGGAGCTGTGGCAGAGACCTGCCCCCCACCCCATGGTGCACAGACCCCCCCCACCCATATGGCGTGTGAGGTGTGCGTGGGCAGGGTCCCCCCGCACCCACATGCTGTGTGCCCACCCTAACGCACACAGCATCTGGGGCCCTGGGCACAGCCGTAAGCCCCCCACCAGGTGCACCCCAGCAGCCTCTTACCTTCCTTGGGGGTTGGAGGGAGCCAGACTTGGGACTTGGGAGCTGCAGGGAGAGCAGCCAATGTTGGCAGGGTGAAAGGGCCCACACCCAGCCCCTCGCTGGGGCACAGTCTTTGTCCACCCCCAGCAAAGCCCCTCCCCTAAGCTCAGGCCAGGCTCTGTGCCCCCAGCGGCCCTGGCCATGCAAGCCCTAGGGCAAGAGAGAGCCAGGCAGGGCCTGTGGGAGCTCCTGCTCCTGATCCCACTCACGTGTCCTAGTGCCAGTCACCCTCGTTGTGCTCAGCTCCGCGTAGGTGCAGGTGTCTGCTGGGAGCACAGGCAGTGTGTCAGGGGGATCATGCCCATGCCCCCAGGTCCTCAGGGTCCGTGCCCTCATGGGGGCCCTGAGGGACAGCCAGGCCTCATGCCCCCACCCCTCCACACTGAACCCCAGGGGAAGGGGCCCTAGGTGACCTTTGCCCCCTTGCAGCAGGGCACCCCTGTCTCTCCCTGGTGCCCACTGGGGCTGGGGCTGCCTGCATGGAGCAGCCTCGGCCCAAGCCTGGCTTCAGAAAGGGGCTGTCATTGTGGCAGGACTTGCTTGGAGAATGCGCTGCCTCCCCCGCAAGCTCGGCACAGGGGGCACAGGCAGTGACAGACCCCTACCTGCATGAGGCATGTTGCTGGCCGGGCTGGCATGAGCTACACGGTCCCTGTGAGAGAGAACCGGGAGTCACCACATGCAATGAGCAGGCCAGCAGTTTGTAATGAAAAATAGGAAGTTTGTCTTCCCCCGCGGGTGGTTGAAGCGGGGGCTCATGGCCACTGGATGTGCTGGAAACTGAGTGCGGCCAAATGTACACAGGGGCTAGACACGCGCTTGGAGGAAAGTGGCATCGGTGGTGATGGGGCAGGGAGTGAGAGGCACGGCCTCTGCATCAGACCTGCCTGGAAACCTCAATGCTGGAGGCTGCAGGGGAGAGAGGAACAGGGAAAAACCCTGCTCAGACCCGGTCAGTCTCCCTTCAGCCTCCACTCGCTGCCCGTGTGACATCGGAGACAGCACAAGACAGACCTCTTCTGTTCTTAAAAGACCTTACAGCTGGTGCCCACGAAGTACAGCTTGGCCCCATGGCCCTGCCCCACGGGTGCAGCCCCAGGCTTGCAGGGGAAACTGGGATCATGTCTGCAGCTTTGAGCAGCTGACAGCAGGGGCCCCGGCGGGCCCCTGTCCCTGCACCCAGTGGCTGTGGGGTCGTTGTGGGGGGAACAGCCCATGGGGAGCCCTGGACAGCGGTGGTGCAGGGCAGTGGGCACCAGTCGGAGGAGGGAGCAGATGCCCCTGCCCCATGACCACCCCCAGGACATGCCCATGTCACCCCTGGTCCCCACCCCCACAACACCCTGGAGCAGGTACAGTTGTGGAGCTTACCTCTGTGAGCCCTGGCATCGCCCTAGAAGAGAGCAGGACAGACCCTCAGCGCCTGCTTGTGCTGGTGCTGCCCAGCCAGCCCCCTGCCCTGCTCCCCACAACCCCCTGGCACCCCTGCCTAGCCCGCACCCACCCCCAGGCCCACTGCCCGGTCCACCCTCTCGCTCCAACCTGGCCCAGCCCCCACACATCCCTGTGGACCCCTGGCCTCTTCCCTGCCCATGCTTAGGACCCCCTTTCTCCCCCCTCCATCACTCCCCAAGCTTAGCCCCCCCCGCCCCCCTACCTTTCCGCCTCTGGCAGAGGACGAGAGCCAGGACCAGGAGCGCCAGGAGCAGCAGGGCAGTAGGAAGCAGGGCAGCCAGGAGTAGGAAGCGGGTATTCTTTGAGGGCCCCACAGTCAGGGAGAGCTCGGCACAGCCCCGCGTGTTCTTCGCCCGGCAGGTGTAGGTCCCATTGCGCCGCAGTGTGATCTCCGCCGCGCTCTGGAAATTAACCTGGGTCTCCCGCGGGGATGGGCTCTCTGAGGTGTTGCCAGGGCCCCACCAGGTGATGTTGGGCAGGGGGTTGCCCTCGGCCATGCAGAAGGCCCGTGCTGGCCCCGGCCCCTCCAGCAGTGAGAGGTTGAGGATGCTGGGCGATGCTGCAGGGCACAGGGCACCGTGGGCGGGGGCCCGGGTGCTGGCTCTCCCCTCTCCCCACAATACCTGAGGACTGGGAGCAAGTGCTGCCTGCCCTGGCCCAGCCACCCCTGCTGCCAGCGAGCCCTGGAGTAGATGCCGAGAAGCGTCTCAGAGCTCCAGGGCGCAGGCACCCAGCAGGGGCCCACCCCAGGGGTTTCGCACCCTGAGCCTCTACCCAGCTATAGTCTAGTGGGCAGAGCCCAGCACCCCAGGCACCCCGTGGGCTGCCAGCTTGGCGTGGTACCTTCCACAGTGAGGTTGAGGTTGGTGGGGTGCGTCCAGCACTGCCCGGATTTGTTCACCAGCTCCACACGGCAAGAGTAGAGCCCTTTGTCCTCAAAGTTCAGCCTGGCCACCCGCAGGGAGAGGTCATGCTGGCGCGGGTCCCCAGCCAGGCTGTAGCGGCTGTTGGGCCCCGGCTCCTTGCTGCAGTTGCCGTTTGTGTCGCTGTTGTTGGCCACCCAGCACTGGAAGACGTGGGACTCCCAGATGACACGGATGATGCCCATGTAGTTCTTGTTTGGGTGTGTGAAATTGCAGGGCAGCACCACGTCACTACCCTTCAGCCCCGTCATCGCCGTGGGCATCTGCATACCCCACTCGGGCTCCTGCACTCTGCCGGCTGGCACGGCCCCTGCAAGAAGAGCGGGGACACCAGGGTGCCCGGGCAGGCGGGGGTCACAGAGTCATAGTCACAGAGCCCTGCAGCTGGAAGGGACCTGCGGGGTCACATCCAGTCCAAGCCCTGCCTGAGGCAGCATCAGCCCTGTGCAAACCAGCCCGGACACACCCAGCTTCTAAAGTCTACAACATGCCGTGGGGAAAGCGGGGGCACTGCAGCGGCCAACGTCCTGCTTTTATAAAAGGGGTTAATAGATGCTCCAGGCAGAGGCCATGGCTCTGCTACAGAGGAAGGTTAACCCCCCAGTCTGAACCAGTCTGAGCAAGTGGGAAATCCCCTTCTGCTCCCAGTGCAGCGTGGGGCTGAGCCTGAGCACAAGAGTGAAACCCTCCAGCCAGGACCCTGTGGGGTTGGTGCCAGCAGGAGCATTGGCCCAGCCCAGCTGCAGCCGCAGCTGCAGCCCCAGCCCCAGCCTGGACTGCAGCAGCACCAGCGCCTCGGGGGGAGGTGAAAACCCCCTGACACGGAGCAGCGAGGAGAGAAGGGGGCAACAGCACAGCCCAGAAGTCTGGGAAATTCCCATAGCAGAGCACCAGCATCGCTGCACCTGAAGCATCCCTGCCAGAGGCTGCCCAACCTCTTCTTGACACCTCCAGCACTGGAAAGCCTTCCCCAGCACCCATCCCTGGCATCTCTCCCACGGCCTGCCTGCTCCGACAGTGAAGACATGTCTCCAAACATCCAATCTAAACTAACCATGCTGCAACTTCAAGCCACGCTGGAGGCGGAGTGGCCAGGAACATGGCTGCCTTGCTCCTGACTAGGCCCTGTCCATCCACGTCTGGCCCAGGCGTGTGCAATAACACGGAGATGCCCGGACTGAGCGTGCAAACAGTCAGGTGCACCAGCCTGCCTTGGCCGGAGCCCCTGCCCCCTCCGTGTCCCAGCCCCCGAGTGCTGCCTCCGTGCCCCCCAGCCCTGGCCCAGTCCGTCTCCTACCTGCCAGCAAGGCCAGGAGCCAGAGGCCATGCGGGACCATGGCTCTGTGCCAGCAGGGAGAGGGCTGGCTGGTCCTGGACAGGTGGAGGCTGGAGCTCTGCAGCAAAGGGATGTCTCAGGCCAGCCCTCGCCCTGCAGCCAGTTGAGCAAGAGCAGAACCACAGACCGGGTAGAGGGCCCAGGCTCCGGCCCGCGGGGGGAGGGTCACTTCCCCTTTGCTGCAGCTGCAGGGAACCTTCAGCCAAGAGCAGAAACGAGCTGCAGCTCCGGCCCCTGGGCCTCAGCCATCTCCTCCGGCCATGGCCTTGGCTCTCTGGCTGGCCCCTTGGACGCTCACACTTGCAGGTGGGTCCCAGCCCCTTCTGCTTGTCTCTGGGACCCTCAGCACCTCCACGCTGGCTCCGTTCCCTCCTGGTGAAGCCCCGTGGGCAGACGCAGCACACCGTCCTGGTCCCGCAGGCATGTGCCGGGCAGTGGAGCAGCGTCTGTCTGTCCTGGCAGAGCCGAGCTCTCGAGCAGGGACTGTGGCCCAGCTTGTTGCCTCTTCTGAGGATCCACCTTGTCCGTCTGTCCCGACAGGTGCCTGGGGTGAGTCGCCTGTCTGCCTGCCCCCCGCCCCCCTCCTGCCAACCCGGGCTCTGACTCTGCCCTTGCTGCCGGCACATCCAGCTCATGAGCCCTGGCCGGGAGAGAAGCACAGGCCGCGTGCTGGATTGGGATTTATAGGGCACAAGCTCCCAGGGTCCTGGCGCAGGTTCCCCTGCACCCTTCTGATGAACTGGGGCTTTCTCTCGAGGCTTTAGCTTCCCTTATCTATTTCCTTTACTTCACAGCTTCTCGTTCCTGTCAGCTACAGCCTGCCACCTTTTCCTACGCGCTGGGCAGGGCATTTCCGTTCCTAGTAGTGCCTTCCGTTGTTCCCCTGAAGGCCCAGCTGTGCCAGGGGCAATCTCCTGCTGGCCGACACGTGCCAAGTGGAGCAGCCCCGGCCTGGTCAGCACGTGCAAAACCTGCCAGTGCATCCCAGCCCTTGCTGCATGCAGCGTCCGCAGCCCGAGGCCAGCGGGACCCATGGATCTGGCAAGGGGCCCACGCCCCTGGTGCCCCGGCTGCCTTGTGGGACCCCGGCGCTCCGGGACCAGCGCTCTAGGACTGTGCCAACAAGAGACCCCCCAGCAGATCCTACCTGCCTTTGGGACCATCGTGGTGGCAGCCCAGGACCCAGGGCACTGAGGAGCCTGGGCACGGATGGGATCTAGCCCCTTGCTTCCAGCAGGCCTGAAAGCTGCTTTCAGACCTGGCAGTGAGGGGGACTGATGGGTTTTGGGGGGGTTAGCACCCCTGCGCCCTCCTGAGCACTGCTCCTCTCAGACCCAGGCCAGTGCCTGCCCCTTGCCCCCGTCCCTGGCAGAGCACGCTGCACACGGCATCTCCCCTCCAGGAGCGCAGCCTAAGGCAGCTCCGGCCTCTCCAAGCTATGAGTGCATGGCTAAAGCCAGAGGCCCTGGGGCTAGACCCTGCAGTGCCAGGAGAAGCATAGGTAGATTAACGCATGGACGGATGGGGCCCAGGCCCAGGGGCCTCTGCCAATTGGGGGCCCCTGGGTGCCTGGGTTCCCATGGGAAATGGAGGGTTTACCCTTGCAGGTAGCAGCCTTCTAGCTTGCAAGGGGCTGTCAGGAGTGAGATGCAGGGGGTGCTGTGTGTGTGTGTGTGTGTGTGTGCGTGCGTGCGTGCCTGTGTGTGTGCGTGTGCGCGCACGGCTGCATGCATGCACCTGATCCCGAGCAGGGCCAGGCGGTGTGCAGAGCAGCTGCCTTCAAATCAGTTATGGGGGGTGTGTGGGGGGGACAGATCGAGGCCCCCATGGTGAGGGAGGGAGCGGGGCAGGGGCTCGGGGTGCTGCCCAGCCAGAGCGATGAAGGACCCGTGGCCATGGTGGGGAGCAGGACAGAGCAATGGGCAGCTGGTCCACGGCTGTGGGGGGCAGCTCCCCACCGCTGTGTGCACCCCCAAGGGGAGGCATGGGTGGGGCATGTGATCCCTGGATTTGTGTGCAGGGCAGATGTGGGCTGCCCGCTGCAGACTTGGGGCTCTCTGCCTTGCTGCCTTTGCCCCGGGACCCCATGCTGGCCGCGTGTCCCCTGCCCACCCAGCAGCAGTGGGGGCCGTGAGTTGTGCCTCCCAGTGCTGGGTGGGCAGGGGGCACACAGTGGGGTCTCCGGGGCAAAGGCAGCAGAGCGAGAGCCCTGAGCCCAGAGTGGCCAGCCCACGTCCGCCCCTGCCCTACTCCACGCCAGTGGGGAGCAGGAAGGAGGGGCTTGTGTCACCCCCCACCCCCCAGCCTGGCCGGGTCCTCCCAGCCTCCCCCGTGGGGCACGGAGGCCCTCCCCACCCTTGGCAGTGTCAGCTGGCCCCAATAAATCTGGGTCAGGAACCCAGAACCCCAATAAATCTTAATCCACCGCTGACGAGAAGGGGCCAGGGCCAGGGATGGTGTGGGGGAGAAGAGGGAGAGGAGGAATCCCTGTTTCCCACCCGCTGCTGTCACGGCGGGGTCGGCCCCACTCGCAGCCCCCAGCCCCGGGGGCACAGCTGCTCCAGTCTGGTTCCCGCAGCCCCGAGGGGTCTCTGGGGGTGACCAATAAAGGGTCGAGCCCCTTCTGCCGGCAGCACCCGCCCGCCTGGGCCCGTCTCGCTGTGACTGTCCCGGCAAGGACTGAGCCATGCTGTGCCATGGGTTTTGGGGCAGCCGTGCCCCGTGGACTGGGCATTTCCCTGTGACCCTCATCGTGCCAGTGACCCTGTGCTGACCCTGGGCTCTGCAGCTCATGCCCCGGCCAGGAAGGGGGTGCTGGCCGGAGGCCGGCACGAGTGTTTCGCTGCACCTCCAGCCCAGGCAGAAAGCGAACCCAAGAGTCGGGGCTCCCCAGGGAGTCGAGCCCACCCTGCCCTGCCCTGCCCAGCCCCAGGCCAGGCCACGGGTGCTGGCTGCATCCCTTTATTGGTGGCTGCCTCGGCCCGGCCTGGGGACATCCGGCTCCGCGGGGCTCCAGGCTCCTGCAGGGGCAAGAGGCAGAGGGCGTGAGCCGGACGGGGCGGGCAGCCCCGTGCGCAGGGCCTCGTAGGCGGAGCTGTCGCTCTCGTGCCCCGTCAGCACCGCGTTGCGGAGCTCGGGCATCTCGGCGAAGGGCAGGTAGGCTTCTCCTGGGGGCACGAGGGCAGGCGTGGGAGGAGCAGTGGGGGCAGGAGAGGCCATGGGATGGGGCTATGAGGAAAGGCACCGCCGTGGGGCAGATCCACAGTGCCCCCTGCTGGGCTGGGCTGTGCCACTGCCTCCCGCCTTGCACTCCCCCCAGCCCCCGTGCCTGCGGTGCCTACCATACGGCCGCCCCCCCTGCCTCCGTGCCTCAGTCGACTCGAAGAAGGTCTCGTGCTCCTCCCAGCGCCGGTCGCAGGCCGCGCACAGGAAGCTGGACTCGAAGCCCGTGCAGCAGCAGCCTGGGCGGGGGGAGCAGGTGGGTGGGGGAGCAGGGGCCCCAGCGCTGCCCCCCTACGTCTGCCTTTGAGAGCCACAGTGCCTGGCGCAGCCCAGCCAGCAGCACCGGGAGACAGGGCAGCTCCTGGCACATGCATGTATACACACAAACATGCACATGTATACTCGTGTGCACCCCCAGCCGCGCGCACACTAGGATACGGCCATGCACAGCCACAACCCTGCACACACACAGCCATGTGTACACAGCTACACCCCTGCACACACCCATGCAGGCACAGCCACACACCCAGCCACTGCCCCAGCCATGCACACACACAACCACCTGCCCGTCCGTGCCCCGGCCCGCGGCCAGGTGCCCTCACCTCTGGCCTGGCAGGCGCGGCTGGCGCGGGGCATGTGCTGCTCATGGCTGTGCTTGCAGCGGCACGTGGCACGCCAGGCAGCGGCGTTGAAGCCGATTATCCTCTTCAGCCAGAACTCGCCCACATCCTCGGGCCGGGCCGGGATGAAGGCGAAGCCCTGGCACTTGCAGTTGGGCATGGCACAGGGCACCAGCACCCGCGTCTCTGCGGGCACAGCATGGCCCTCAGCCCCTGGCAGCCCCTCCTCACCAGGACGGTTGGCTGCAGAGACCCCAGGGCTGAGCCCCAGAGGCTGTGCACCCTCCAGGGCCATGCAGCACTGCCAGCAAGAGGGTCAGCAGGGACCTAAGCCAGGGGGGTGGGGACCCCCGTAGGGGAGGGGTCTGGCGAGGCTGTCCAGCGGTTGCCCCCCAGTACCCACCGGCATAGACCTGGTGCTCCTGCAGCAGGTGCCCACAGAAGCACTTGGAGCGGTCGCCCACGCGGAAGCAGTCCCACAGGTACTCGGGGCAGCGCCACCCAACATATAGACCTGCAGGGCATGGGAGGGCGTGAGCCTGCTGTCCCCCACCAGCCCCGTGGCTGCCCGCTCCCCGCTCCCCCAGGCCCTACCTGTCTTGATGGCCTTGAGGGCAGCCTCGCGCTCCAGGTTGAAGAGCTCCTGCACGGTGCGGCCGAAGCGCTCGCGGTGCATGGCCTTGGCCACCGACACCAGCTCCGCCTTCTCGGCCGGCACCACCGCTCGCACTGTGTAGCCTGGGCGTGGGGAGGGGGGTGAGCATGGCCGGGGCAGGCCTCCATCCTGCCACAGCCCCCCATGGCATCCTCACCTGGCACCAGCTCGATGGCTGCCCTTGGGCTTTGGGGCTGCCAGTGCTGAGGCCTAGGGACCCATCCCTGGGGCCCTGTGTGCCTGGTGCCCACTGGAGACTGCTCTGGGCTGTCGGCTATATTGGGGGACTGCACAGCTTTTGGGATGAAGGTGCCAATTGCTGAGGCCCCCAGCAGGGAGAGTGGGGGCATCCACCTTAGCCAGGTGCTAGCCAGTGCCCAGGGAGCACCCCAGCTGGGAGCCAGTAGGACTGCGGGGCAGACCGCCCGGCCAGGGCAGGAAGGGGCAGGCTCTCGCAGCAGGGCTGGGTACAAGACCAGGCTAATCGCGCCTGCCCTGCTGGGGTCCCCTACTCCCCACCAACCCTGGCCTCCCCCCAGCCCTGCCAGTGCCCCTCACTCCCAGCCTGCAGCCCCTGCCCCTCCCCTCCCAGCCCTGCCGGTGTCCCTCACTCCCAACCCGCAGCCTCTGATCCAGCCCCCGCAGCCCTGCCAGTGCCCGTCGCTCCCAACCCGCAGCCCCTGGCAGGTTGGGGTACCCTCACCGTACCTGCTGCTCCCTGCTTGGCGGTCGCCTTGCGCTTTGTCTGCGTGTGTTGATGGTTCACCTCTACCATCTCCCCCTCACCTTCCTCGTCCTCCTCCTCCACCTCCATTCCCAGGGCCGGCGGGGGTGCCTCCTTGGCTGCTGCTGCCCCCGCAGGGTCCTCGGCCAGCAGAGAAGGCACCCTGTGTGGCTCTTCTTCTGGCGGGGGGGATGCCCCCCTGGGGTCCTTGCCCCCCAGGCCAGGCTCCTGGCCCTCCATGCCCAGCTCTGTGTGGACACACAGTGTCAGGGCCGGGGCGGGGGCTCTTTGGGTGGCACGAGGTGGGGGGCACAGTCAGGACAGGGCAGGGGGGTTGGCTGGGGGGCAGCAGCAGGTTGCAGAGAGGGGGAATGAAGGGACAGGACCTGATGGAGGGAAGATGGGGTGGAGGGAGGGGGCGCCCGGACCCCCGGGCTCCCTCCCTGGCACGGTCCAGGCCAGCCCGCCCTGCGGCGCATCTCCTACCTGCGGGCGGGCACGGGGATCTTCCCGCAGGAGCGGCTCGGAGGCCGGGGAAGGAAGGACCAGTTCCCGTGGCAACAGGAAGGGAGGGGCCTTCCCCATAGCAACGGGGGGGGCAGCTCCTATGGCAACGGGGACAATGCCAGGGCAGCCTTTAACCCCTCAAGGGCCGAGACAGTCCCAGAGCGCTGCAAGGGCTGGAAGAGCAGGGAGAGCTCTGGAGTGACTCAGTTTCCCCACCCGCTGCAGTGTGTCATTTGGACACTGGGGGTAAGGGGCTAATTTCCACCCTAGTCGTTGCGGGGGGCGGGCTGGGTGGTATCAGATGCATGGAGCAGGGGATGCCAGAGACAGGGCATCCCCGATGCACCCCCAGTAAGGAGGTGGGGGTGGGGGGGGGGTTTGAGCACCGGGCCCAGGAGGGGGGGGGGGGGGGGGTTGGAGCACCGGGCCCAGGAGCCACAGAGCAGCCTGGAGCAGGGGGCTGGCTGCATCAGCCCTCAGGAGCCCACGGGAAGAGACCAGGAGGAGGGATACGGAGCTGGCACCTGGGGCTGGCCAGAGCCCCCCGCCCTGAAAGGCAGCCTTCAGCATGGGAGGGCAGCCGCTTAGCAGCCAGGCCGTGTGCTGGGGCAGCTGGGGGCCGTTCGCCTGCCTGCCCTGGCCCCTGGGGCTGCCCTTGCCCCGCGCGGTGCTCTGCACTGCCCTGGTGGAGTCGGGTCCTCTCACTGCAGTGCCGAGGCCTGGCCCATCGTGTTGGGCCCCAAGCTAACCCTCATGTCAGCTCCACGCTGTCCTGGCTCCCAGCCTCTCTCCCCTGCAGCCCCAGGCCTGTGAGCATGGGCACAGCTGCCTCCTCACCCTCCAGAAACCCTCTAGGCCCCTGGTGCCCATCGCCCAGCACGGCTCCATGGGCTCATTCTTGGGAGCACAAGGCCCAGCCCTGGGCCTGCAAATCCGTCCCCCTGAGCTCCCAGGTAAACACCAACCTAAATCCCCAGCAGGTTTCTACATGCCCCGTAGCTTAACGGGCAGCGCTGGGATTGGGCACCAGCACCCGTGCAATGCCAGGCCGCAGGGGGCAGACAAGCCTGGCCAGTGCCCTGAAGTCCTCCATGCTCAGAGCATCCTGCCCCACGTCTCTGATCCCGGGGCATCCCCTGCCCCCATCCAGCCCTGGCCTGAGCTGTGGCACCCTCCCGGTGCTTCAGAAGAGGGTGCTGCCCCCTGCCCCAGGTGCCAGCTGTGCTTGGGGGTGGAAAGAGGGTCCTGGTCCCTCTGCCCAGAAGCAGGGCCGGGAGCTCTGTGCTTGTGCTGTGCTGGGCACAAGACAGTGCACGGTGCTGCCGGTGGAGCACACAGTGCGCCCTGAGTCACCCGTCTGTGGTGGACGGACGCCCTGAGGGTCTGCTCGGGTACCAGGCTGCACAGCCTCAGGCAGCAGGACTCCAGCTCCCCTGGCCGGGCCCGGGATGCAGCGGTCTCCCACCGGGATGCACGAGGACGCACTCAGCAGAGCTGCGGACAACCCCGTCGGGGGCGCAGACCCCACCCCAGGCTCTGCAGGGTCCTTCGCTGCTGGGAGTGGATGCGGGGTTCCGGGCAGCCCCGGCCGGGAGCACGCCCCCATCCCTCCTGCTGTTACCC